AAAGGGTTGATCTTAGACATATAAAATAGAAAGCTCGTTAGAATTGAAAATACGGCTACAGCAGCGATCGACTTTAGTAGCTAAATTATGGAGGTCGGGGGGGAAACTGGGTGCCTTTGAGGTCACCTTGAAAAATATCTCGTAAAAAGTGAACAAAACCAGAGTGGTTCAAAATAAACGCAATATTTGTTCATGGGATAGAAGTCTCGACTTTTACAGTAAAAATCAGGGAAATCGGTGAAGGTCCGAAATTTGCCTTATCCGTTCTTAGGCGGACAGCCTCTTAAAACTGAACCCGGGTATTGTTGAAGTTGTTTTTAACTACTACTGAAGGTCTAGCTTAGAGAGCCGATTGCAGTTATTTTTTTACTTCGAGTTTAGAGAGTAGAACACTCGAACTGTTCATTACTTTTGTTGCATTACAGAATTTCGTGGAGTCTTTCGCCGACACATACTAAACAGCTCACGAGAAAACCTTGGAACAAAAAGAAGGCAAATCCAGGCGTTGAGTGCACAATAAACTCCCCCCAATAGCAAGGCGATACTACGAACTATGCGAAAAATCCTGTTACATTTAGATAGTACCTTAGGTGAAAAGAGAGCGAGCAAATTAATCACAATATAGAGTGACCAACATATCAATAAAGCTGTTATAGTGGCAAAGGCCATCTTTTTCAAATTCTTGCTGCGTTCTTGATGTCTTCTCTCTCCGATGTCAGTACGACACTCAGCTCCTATTTTGTCTCTTCGAAGGTTCACGACAATAGAAATGTGCAAACAGGAAACAACCAGGAGTGGCAAAATCAAAACTGTCGTAAACAGGAAAATGTTGTAGTAACGGTGGGCTACGCTATGATCGAAAGCTGGCTCCCAACTGGGTACGCAGACCTTGATATTGTTAGTTAAGCTTACTAGTCGCATGATGTAAAAATACGGCGAGTGAAATACTGCAGCCAAAATCCAAGTTGAGGCCACTAGAAGACGACGAGTTTGCATAGAGATGCTCCTGTACGTTAAAGGATGAACAACGGCAAAAAAGCGCTCTGTGGTGATTAATACCAAGCTCAGAGTTGACACGGAGAGTGATATATCGCTCAGGAAATTGCACAGCTTGCAGAGAAAACTTCCGAACACTCCATCAACGAGGAAGGCAGGATAGCCAGTGACTTCTATCGTAATGAGACGAGGGATTTGGAAAATTGCCACGAGAAGGTCGGACACAGCCATGTTAGCAATGAGAAACAGAAGCTTTTCTTTCATTCTCGCGTATGCGGTTATAAGAAGGAAATTTCCCATTAGCGATGTAAAGAGAATAAGAATGTATATCGCGATGGTAACTTGACTCGGAACTGTATTGGTGACACACATCTCAGATGAAGGGGTGTCGTTGCTGTTTCCGATTTTCTCACCGTTAAGAGTGGAGATGTTTTCTCTTGCAGCCATTATTCCAGCGATGAGGAATGAAGAATATTGGTGCTTGTTGTCTATGGTCTCACGTAATGTCAACTGCGTCTTTTTAACATCGCAACGTAATTGGATATTACGGTATTACCTTTTAATGATGGATTGACGTTTTGCTAAGAACTTGACAGTTTGTGCTAGCGTGATCTAATTACTTTTGGGAACTGAATACATAATGTAATCCTATTCAAAAATATGTATTGTAAGTTTTCGCCAAGCGAGTCTCCTTTATAGCATCTTGTGCTCCTTAGCTTTGTTAATAAATCCGAGGAAGTGCACTTCTTTTTCTTAAATGAGGTTGTAAAAAGGCTTCTTTCTAGGGTTCTGTTTTCTCTTGAAATTAAATCACTTTTTCTGCTTGGCAGGGACGTAAACACTTACTGTCAATTTCTGTCAGGAATGAGATGGTTGCTTAAAGTGACAGCTGTTAGCTTTTCAATGAACATGGTAATTATTATGATAGAATTTTTAAAGTTTACTTTGATAACAATATCGTCATGAATCTTTCAAGGATTCTTTTAAACAATTGTAACAATACAATACAAGGTGCAAATGAACTGAATTGTTGTAGGACGGTGAGTTTGAGAGGATCAAGGACAGGAAGCTTTTAGCCTAAGCTATGGTGAGTGACTGAAAATAAGCATCTAGAAATTTCTAGAATGCCTTCTCAAGCAGACTTGCATACATGAACTTTCCATAGAACTTTCTAGAACATTCTAAGATATCTTTGTAGAAGGCCTAAGTAAGTTATTGAGGTTAGTTACTTGTACTGTCTATAGAGGTTTTGTACAGCAGCCATGTTGTATGGCAGGAACAATAGATTATTTTTCCCATGGGAAACAATTTTCTTTCTTATGCAAAATATTTTCATTGTTCCTGCCATGCGACGTGGCTGCCATGCAAAACCTCTATTGGAGTCGCTCCTGAGTAAGAATTTTACACGTCGTTTAATAAAGTACTTGAGTTTATATATAGGATTACAGTGATTTTCTGTTGGTTGAATTATACCGTAAAACCTCTATTGTTGCAAATGGAAAAGCACAATGCAATCATTACGATCGTTTTTGCAGTCTTCTCTGTTTCACTTAAACTTAATTAAGATTTTATTCTACCTTCAAACCTTTTTTTCTTGCAAAATGTATCTCAGTCTCTGTACATGATAGACGAAACATTTATTCAATAAATTGTGTGCTAAAATTGTCATCTGGCAGACGTTACTCCAGGTGACCAATCTATCCTTGAAAGGAAACGATGGTTGCACTAAAAAGAGAGAAAAACTGAAATTTCAGGGAAAAAATGATCTTAAATTTTTACATGAAGTAGATGATTTTTTCAGAAAGAATAAGGTTTAGAAAAAAAGGGAAAAGGATTACTGGGTCTAGAAAGAAAGTTAGGGCGACATAACGCGTTGAATGCAATATGATTGACATGTATGATGGAAGTTGAGTACAAATCTGTAGTGCAACCCGTAACTCAGAGACTAATTAGGTTACTTTGTGCTAGCACAAGTATAAATGCGTCATGCGTCATCAAAACGTCAATCTTTCGCTCCATTTAATTAGAAATAAAAGAAATCGTTTGTAGTTGGCATATTAAAAAGCCACATCCCATTGTTTCCCGAAGGTGATACCACTCATAAAAAAAACCCTGCTGTTTACTGTTGGTCGTTTCAGTAGCTAGTTTTGTGCTGCTGAGAAAAAAATAACCACCCATGAGGCGTCTTTATCTAGATTGAGAGTCACAATGCCTTATGCTTCCGTGTAGTCAAGTTAGCCCAAGATACACATTTTCATTCTGTCATCATTCCGAAGTGAAACTCCCTTTTTATCATTTCGTTCGTGAGAATGAAAGAAAAGCTCGACCCCCCTAATGCTAACATGGCAAAACCAGCCACTAGTTATGATGTTTGAACTACGATATCTCGTCAAACGAAAGCATAACGGTGGATGTGCCCTCATTTTTTGTGGTCCATTGTTTTTCCCTTTTGGCTTACCCTACGGTTTTTTTTTTTTCATTTTTTGGACGCTAATAATGTGATTCATTCCTTAACCTACTTGAAAATAGGGCACTATAAAAGGTTCTGTGCATCTCCAGGGTGTTAATTGGGTGGATCTTGAATCTTTAATCCTAAGGGTTACCCTATGTTCAATTTGCGTGTACTGGTAAAATGTGTTATGGAAAAAATCAAGAGGCTTAATTCAATTTTTGTTTCATTGCGTCACCATAGATTACCATATCTCTCGAAACCATCAACATTAGTGGTCGAAGTGAATTTTGGTCAGTCTTTGTTTTCGCTATCATTTTTCGTATCTTTGATATAAAAATGGACAATAGAAACTTTATCTGCTTTTTAGAGCATTGCATAATTACCTTGATTGCTGTTTAATCACACTGGGCATACGTGTCTAGTTTTGCATCATGAAATTGAGAAATAGTATGTAGACTGCGTTTATGCAAAGAGCGAGCACGCTATTATTAAGAAAATGTGACTAATCATAGCATTAATATTATATATTTGTAATCAATGTCATCGCTTTTTGGCAAAAAAGCTTCATGCAAGTGGTACTCTTTGTCTCTGTTGTGAGCACTTCTTGTTAGTCAAGCGGGAGATCTCTTTTTCGTCCGGCGGTGCCAGCTTCCCTGATCAGGCAGTCAATTTTTATAATCCCCATTCTTGCGAATCTTAAGGTAGATTAGAAAGCTATAATGGTCAAATAAAAAAGTAGGAAATCTAAGGTTGATCTCCACCAGATATTTTATGACTCACAACCTGAGAATCTACGAAGATATTTTCCATTGTACAAATTTTGCCGCTGACTAGCCCTTAGAGGAATAGCTGAAAACACCGCACTTACGACGGAGAGGTTTTGCGCTCAACCTTACGGTTAAATTGTACAGTATAGCAAGAAATTCCTTATCCCTCCACCTATTTATTATAAAGTTGAATGTCCCTGATATTGTTTTATAAAAAAGAAAGTATATCAAATTTGGTACCATTTTAATAACTTTGTTATCTTAGGGTTTGTAATATAGATGGAAAATAATATATCTCGTAAGTTATTCATGAAAAACATAAAAAGAGATGATTATCTTTTACTCTCTTTACGACCTTACGTTGAATTAAGATTAGTCCAATTCTTCCCTTAACACGAGAAAGTGGTCAATTTAACTTCGTCAGACACCTGCAATAAACTGCCATTATGCTTTTCCCTATTTTTTATATTTGTTAATCAGTGATGCTGTGTTACTTTCACTTATGGCGTGAAAACATCCAGGTGAATGCCAAGGGGTCATGGAGGGTCAATTTAACTTCGCCAGACACTTGCAATAAACTGCTATTAATTTGTTTGATCGCAGCACATCTTCTCTCATCATGTATTCGCCGTAAAACAGGTTTCAGTTTCCAGAGACACTGGCTCTTTCCGTAAGCACATACCTTTTATCTTCCCCACAGAATTAACACTTAAGAAATTTGCTCGGTGAGCAGAGCACGTAGCTCGTTGGAATTCATGGAAAAGGCGGTAGTTTATGTATGCCCTTTGTCCTACATATTTTATGTCTACCTTTTTGTTACATAACAGTAGTCAAACGCTATTTCCTCCGTAAAACTGCTGTTGAGTCTGATTCTAATTTCGTCGATAGATTCTTTACAAATTTTTTATTGCTAATCTCGCTTTCGTTTTGCCGGAACTTAACTAACTGGTGATTCATGAAAATTTAGGCAGAAAGTCGCTTTGTAAAGGGTCATCATTAAAATGAAGCTCGGCTGGTGGAACCTTTAAAAACACTAAACCTTAGTTCGTATTCTTGGTGAGTTAGTTTCCCAGTTGTAAAGAAGTATTTTAAAAAAGGTTGCCTTTGAATGAAGAAGTGTATCAATATCAAAGAGAGTGCTAGAGAAAGCATTAACTTTTCTTAACAAACAAAAAAAAACACGAGCCAGATCTAATCTGTTTGCAGGCACTTCTGAACTAGACAAATGAATCACGCTCTGATCTCGATATTTTTTTTGGAGGAAGAAGTTGCCTTAAAAATTCCATATCATTGAGCTACATCCGAATATGCCCACCTCGCAACAAATTTATGGCGAGTACGGGCACGGATAACTTGAGGTTATAAGATTCTCAAGGAAAACCAAACAAAAACAATTCAAAAACTGCATATTTCAGCAAAATAACAAGAATTCCCCTTTACTCTAGTATACCATTTAGCTCTTTCTCTTTTCACACCCTCAAGGTCAACTTTGGTTTGACATGACAGGAAACTTCATATCGTTGCTTAAAAGAAATGAACACGTGGTGCGTCTAAGGAGGAAGCTTAGATACCATTTTATACGAACTCACTGCTGGAGACTACAAGACAGAAAGATTTTTGTATGCTTCATGGCTATTACCTAAAATTACATTCTAACTAACTGCCAACTGTAAATACCACATGTCTCCAAAGCAGCTTACAAAGCGATCGTTGAATTAAACGAGATTTACTTGTAAATTAAAGTTGATTGGAATTCTTTCGAGTCATCAAACTGCAAATGATCACATGAGGTTGCCGAGCGCATGTGTAAGATCAGTATTTAGAGCAGAATGTGTAGGTTGGGGGAATCTGAAGCGTTTCTGTCTGTATTTCTGAGCTCTCAGCGAGTTTCTCTAGAAGTCATTGGAGAACCGCCGCCATGTATAGGTTCGGGTCATCCTTCTCCTTTCGTTCGCTCGTAAGGGGTGCTAGGAAAGATTCTTCGGCCGCAGATCCGTCGGACATTGTTAACTTGGTCTCTTTGTTAAATACACCAATCACGCCCACAAATTTATTCATGAATCTACGGTCTGTTACGACGGTAAAACAATTTGATTAAACTGATATCGCGCGCGAAAAGGCACTGATGTTGGGTATGCGGAAGGCACATTTTTAGAGGAAGTATGAGTTCTAGTCTTCTGAAATGGGGCTGAAAAACCCGGTTGTTCGAAGAGTGGCCATCCACGACGCCAGTTGTTGTGTATTAGGGTTCGATGTTGTAGTGTTCAGGCCTCCAAGTCCACGCCCAAGGCCCCAGGAGACGTAGACTCGAGTATTTAGTATGCAGTGAAAAGTGAGAACGGGGTGTGAGAAAATCTAGGATAACGAACAAACTAAGCGACCTGTAAGCGAACTGTAAGCGAACTGTATAAGCGAACTCCTGAACATTACATTGGCGGCGAGGATCATCTCGTAGGCGTTCGATCGAATTGTTTCGATCGAGAAATCTCTGCGAATGGCTGCATATGATACAAATCTCAACTTCGGACCGTTTGACCCGGACCTAGATCCGACATCGGTCGGCACTCGATTCAGGAATTATCTCGAAAGATTCAAAGTATACGCTGCAGCGATGAATATAAAGGACAAAGCGAGAAAACGAGCACTACTCCTACACTGTGCTGGTCCCAAAGTACAGGACATCTTTGACACACTAGAGGATACGGGAGAAGACTTCGAAACCGCTGGAGAGAAACTGGTAGAGTATTTTGAGCCTAAAAGACATTACTTTTTAGCATATACCAATTTCGGCAGTTAGCCCAAGAGGAAGAGGAGTCGTACGATGATTACACCACGCGTTTAAAGCAAGCAGCGGCTCCGGGCGAATTT